ATTATTTTTAAGTGCCAAAACATGGAAGCAATCAAGATGTCCTTCAGAAGGTGAATGGATAAACTCATTTGCCAGACAATGGAGTGATTCAGCACTAAAAAGAAATGAGCCATATAAAGATATGGAGGAACCTAAAATGTATAATATTACATGAAAGATAATTTGAAAAGGCTACGAAATGGTATGATTCCAACTCTATGACATWATGGAAAAGACAAAATTATGAAAACAGTAAAGAAAACCAGTGGTTGCCATGGGTTAGGGAGAAGGAGGAATTTTTTAAATTTGGGGGCATTGAAACTACTCTGTATGCTAACAAATGTGTATATAAATCATGAATTTATTGGAATGTAAAACACCAAGAGCTACTTTAAACTATAGATTTTGGATGATAATGATGTACTGATAACAGGTCCCTCATTTGTAACAAATGTGCCACTTTGGTGGGCAATGTTGATAATGGGGAAGGCTATGAAAGTATAGGGGCAAAGGTGTATGCGAACTCTCTGTACCTTCCGTTCAATTTTGCTGTGAACCTAAAATTAAACTTTTTCAAAAAGGTCTGTTAAAAAAAATGCTTGATATCATCAGTCATCAAATATGAATTAAAACCACAATAAGACCTATCATGTTACCTTTAAATTGGCTAAAATCAAAAGTACTGGTGAGGATGTAGACTAACTGGAGATCTGATCCACTACTGAGGGTGGAAGGGGGATGGAGGGGAATACAAAATGGTACCGCTACTATGGAAAACAGCTTCACTATTTCTTAAAAAGATAAACTTGGTCCCAGAGGTCCATCCATTCCATTCCATTCCAAAATATTTACCAAGGAAAATATATGTCTCTACCCAAGTCTTGCTTATAAAATTTTATAGTAGCTTTATTTGTAAAGGCGTAAATTGGAAATAAGCCAAATATTTGTCAAGAGGTAGGCAGAAAAACTGAGGTACATCCATATTTTGGAATACTACTTGGCAATAAAAGGAATAATCTATTAATGTCTGTTGCAATATGTACAGATCTCAAAACCAATAAGCTAAGTATGTCAGACAAAAAAAGAGCATACTGTTAAATACCATTTATATAAAATTCTAGAAAATACAAATTAACCTATACTGGCAGAAAGCAGATCAGTGGTTGCATGAGAAAAGGAAAGGGCACAGGAAGGTTTTCCTGGTGATGGATATGTCCATGATCTACACTGCAGTGATAGTTTTATAACTTTCCAAACCAGACAGAGAAAATAATGAGCAAAGAGTCATCAAACCAGTTCTATACTATACTGAATATTTCCTTAACTCACCTTAATTTAAAGAACATAAAACTTACAGAAAAGCTGAGGGATACCTAAAATATATGGTGTTTATTGTACCCTGATTATATGTTACGCTGTACATTAAAAAAATGAAAAGAAAAAAAGGGAAGAGGAGGAGGGAAGAAGAGGAGTTAGTGTGAAACCACTGCCTAGCAACAGGGCTTTACTGGATGACACAACAGCACTGTGGAGCAATGTTGAGGCTCACTGGAAATATGTGACCATAAACTTAAAAACAAGACCATTCTACACTGCTGCATATCTTTTTCAGCCACATTTATCTATCTGCTCAGGTATAGACACACAGTAGGTACAGAATTAAAGGTAAACAAATTCAAGGCACTTGTTAAGCAATTATGAAGGGAATTTAAGTTATACACAATGAAGTAATTGAAAGATAGTTTGGGTAACAAACAGAATGAGGAGGGACATGAGGATGCAGGGGGATGTCATGGACGATTACACAGGTCAACAGAGTCATTCAACAAAGGCACTACAGGGACTGGTGATACTACAGTGAAGACAGGCAAATACTTTATAGCAAACACACAGGTGTTTATTAAGTACCCTTCATATACAACACAGACTCAGTAGTAAGGAGTGCAACAAGAACAGAAAGGAAGGTCTGTTTTCTAAGTGAGTCTTTGGATGACTTAAAAACAACATTCAGCAGTCAGAGAAATGCAAATCAAAACCACCCTAAGATACCATCTCACTCCAGTAAGATTGGCAGCCATTATGAAGTCAAACAACAACAAGTGCTGGCGAGGATGTGGGGAAAAGGGTACACTTGTTCATTGTTGGTGGGACTGCAAATTGGTGCAGCCAATTTGGAAAGCAGTATGGAGATTTCTTGGAAAGCTGGGAATGGAACCACCATTTGACCCAGCTATTCCCCTTCTCGGTCTATTCCCTAAAGACCTAATAAGAGCATGTTACAGGGACACTGCTACATCAATGTTCATAGCAGCACAATTCACGATAGCAAGATTGTGGAACCAACCTAGATGCCCTTCAATAGATGAATGGATAAAAAAAATGTGGCATTTATACACAATGGAGTATTACTCTGCATTAAAAAATGACAAAATCATAGAATTTGGAGGGAAATGGATGGCATTAGAGCAGATTATGCTAAGTGAAGCTAGCCAATCCTTAAAAAACAAATGCCAAATGACTTCTTTGATATAAGGGGAGTAACTAAGGACAGAGTAGGGACGAAGAGCATGAGAAGAAGATTAACATTAAACAGGGATGAGAGGTGGGAGGGAAAGGGAGATAGAAGGGAAATTGCATGGAAATAGAAGGTGATCCTCAGGGTTATACAAAATTACATACAAGAGGAAGTGAGGGGRAAGGGAAGAATAATACAAGTGGAAGAAATGATTTACAGTAGAGGGGGTAGAGAGAGAAGAGGGGAGGGGAGGGGWGGGGAGSGGGGATAGTAGAGGATAGGAWAGRCARCAGAATACAWCAGACACKAGWATGGCAATATGTAAATCAATGGAAGTGTAACTGATGTGATTCWGCWATCTGTATAYGGGGTAAAAATGGGAGTTCATAACCCACTTGAATCAAAGTGTGAAATATGATATATCAAGAACTATGTAATGTTTTGAACGACCAACAATAAAAAAAGAAAAAACAACATTCAGTAAGCATTCTCTGGGCTATTCCTACTAGTCAATCTACAGGAGTCATTTCTCCCACTTCATTTGCCCTTTCCAAATGTTAATAGTGATAGTGTTGGAGCCRGGGCTGTGGCTCAGTGGTAGAACACTCGCCTAGCATGTGTGAGGTACAAGGTTTGATCCTCAGCACCACATAAAGATAAAATAAAGGTATTGTATCCATCTACAACTAAAAAATATTCTAAATAATGATAATAACGAGTGTAGCTTAACTATAGGTCTGTGGGTTTTGTTTTGTTTTTTAATGATTGATTTTTAGATTAAGCCAGAAATAAATTTGGAGGTGAACAATCAGTTTCCCATTACCTCAAACTATTTTTATGTTGGCCCATCCCAGACCCCAAAAGAAAACTAATACCTTCTTCTTGGTTCTTCTTTTGAAATTAAACTTTACAGGAATATTTTTTAACATTTATCATTTCATTTTTGGTAATGTTATCTATCTTTCATCTTGTATAATTTCTGACTCAAGTCCAAGGTTTGGATTATTTAGATATAAACCTCATGTTTAAATTACTTTTAATCCTTTTTATTTTCTACCATCAGGATTCCTTTCCCTTTGATTATTATACATTTTTATTTTCTTTTGAAATCTGTTTTAAATGACTAGAATTCCCTTCTTTTGCCATTAAAGAGTTCACTCAACTTCAAAGTAACTCCAATTTATCCCAGTGTTTTGCTATTTCCAGATCATTAAACAGTATTGGGTTAACAAGGAGGAACTAATCAAATTAAATTTGTTACACACTGGTACTACCCCAATCAGATTTAGAAAACTATATGCTTGGTGTGGTAGTGCACACCTGTAATCCCAGTGGCCTGGGAGGCTGAGGCAGGAGGACTACAAGTTTGAGGCCAGCCTCAGTAACTTAATGAGTCCTTAAGCAAGACCCTAAATAAAAAAGGGCTGGGGGTGTAGCTCAGTGGTTAAGTGCCCCTGGGTTCAAAATTTGGTTCAATTTTTGTACCAAACCAAACAAAAAGGGGTAATCCGAGTTAAATTCACGCATCCTATAATTGCAATTTATCTCAATTATATTTAAAGGAAAGCAACGTGGTTTTATTTTTGTTTTCCTTTTAAATACTTGATTCATGTGATCAAATTATTTAATACAGTAAGCTAAACTGAAGTTTTAAAAAGAAGAACAGTGTTATAGGACAGTATTTTCCTGGTTAAGAGACACTGCTGATTTTGCCATATTTTGAGTCTTAAGTCATCGTGCATCACTATGTCTCATACCRTGGCCCTGCCTGTATTCCCAAGTCACTGTGATAACCAAATGCTTCCTCATATTTTCAAATGCCCACAGCAAGTGGGCATCTTACAATCACATTTCTAGTGTCATTTGGCAGACTGTGTAACTAAGTCCAGAAATCTGCATTCCCTACTTACTCTATTTTCTTTCCATTTTTATGGCCATTACTCTAATGCTGATGTCTTCATAACCCTAAACAGGAATAACACAACTTCCTATTTCATTGATTCTTAGGTTTTTCTTTCCTCAAAGCCACTGTTTCACATTTCTGTAAAATTTATATTTCCCAAATATCTTGCTTTATGTCACTCATTCATCAATAATGGGGATAAAGTTCATATCCACCTGGTTTCTAAGACTCTTGAATGTGACCTCAAGTGTCCTCATCTACCACTATATTCCCTCTTTATGCCCTTCTCTCTATCCAACTTGTTTCACTCTCAATTCTAGCATTAAAGATTCATCTCTACACTTTACTGATGCTTCACCTATGAAAAATCTTCTACTTCTAAATAAATGCCACTCGCCTCAGATGCTACTCGGGTCTTACATGCTCCATGATGCTTCCCCCACAGGGTCTTTCATCTCTGCATCCATGTTGAGACTGAATTGAAAGGAGAATTAAAAGGAGGCAACAAAAGGTACATTTTTAGGGAAATATTTAATAAGCTAAGTGATAAATAATTAAAAAGCCCACATTCTATATGAAAAAAAATTCATAAAATAGTTTCACCTGTTTCGCTATTTTCAGGCAGAGATTCATATTCTGAGTGATCCAGAGCCAAAGTGTTCATGTCTGTTTGGTCTGACTCCTGTAAGTCCGGTAATGCTGCATTCTCATGACTTTTGTCACCATCACCACTGGCATCCAATCCTATAATTGCAATTTTATCCCAAAAGGCAGTGTTAGAACAATAATGTTCCCTTAATACAAAACTTACACTTGCAGATACTCAAAATCTTTAATTGGATTAYAAAAGATCTCCAGGCTCCAAGTACTATTACAAATCAGGAAACAAAGGAAAAAAATCAACAGCTTCTCAAAGAGATTAAATAGTAACAGAGGCAAAGATTTGACAATAGGGCTGTTCCTGGTCAAGGCCAGGCTCACAACTCACCCTGCTGGCCGCAGTCACGATGGCTGGGCACCTCCTCCCACGCAGTACTCACACCAACAGCAGCACTACTTGCCTCCAAATGTAACATATGAGTCCCCCATACTTTCGCATTCGGGTTTAGCTCTGAAACCTTAGTTGTTGGTACCTAGGAAAAAAAAATTATATATACATTTGTATCCAAATTTCAACTAAGTGTTACTGAAGGGTTAAAACTGCATCTACATTAAGAGAATTTAGGGTTAAAAAGCTGAGCCTATCTCTTTACACATACCTCAGTTTAATCAGATTCCAAATGTCACAAAGAAGAAGTGCTCAGAACATTTAATTCGCCCCTAGGTTCTTAAGTTTCTCCTAGGCATAAGGCTTCTAGATGCTGAAAATGACAGGTATAGTCCCTGTCTTCATGAAGAGTTCAGTGTCTCACAAACAGTGTAATTATAAATAACTGGCGATTTCCTAGACTATCTAAGACGAATCACAATTTACAAATTTGAATACAATGTAKAGGGGTAAAATTTTAATTATAAAGCTTCAAACAGTCACATAAGYCAAAGATACACAAAATGGAAGTTCCTCCTAAGAATAGGACTGTCAGCTACTGGAGGATGAGAGAAAGCTAAAATATCCACTAAGCAAGACAACAAAATCTCTCACATTTTCAGCAGAGCTATAATACTGTTTCCATTCCTAAAAGGACTTCCATCTCACCTTCAGAGCTTTCTCAGAACACAGTTTCCCAATCCTATTGGAATGGGAACTCCAGGTGATCCCCATGCTGCTCACCCAAAGTTCTTACATGAGCCCTCACTCCACTAGGGATTACAACTCTCCACAAACAGGTGTGCAACGTGGGGCTAGTTAGTGATTTACTCTCTAACTTAACTTCACCTGAGAAATGAGCTTTGCAGTTCCCACCTTCTAGGATTACTGAATCAGGGCATTTAAAGAACCCAGCATGGTGTCTGGCACACACCAGGCACACAGACTAGCAATTACTACAATAAATAGTGTTCAGTAGCTTAGACTGTCTATGGTAGTCCTCTGCTCAAACACTGGAGTCATCCCTTCAAAGACTGCCTGGCTCATTCATAGTAACAGGTGAAGTTCTTACTGCAGCCCAATTCCCTCGTGGGATCACCATTTCTTTGAGCTAATTTTTCATCACGTAGACCTCCTTGCTCTTTCTAAATACACTGGCACTTTGTCTCCTCCTGTCCTGTCTGTCTAGAATACCATTCCCAGATACTCCCTAAAATACTTAAGAGCCACCCCCCCACACACTGTATAGTCCCCACTTTCATGATTTTTCTACTAGTCTAGCTTACTTCTGCTTAAAGACCTTGAATGACTCTCCAAAGTTTAAAGAAAAAACAAATATCCCAGAGGCAATTGCTCCCCAAATTTTAACTTCAATTTTGCCATTACAATCCCTTGACAAACCTAGATAAATTGTCTGCCTTTTCAAACACACCACCAGCCTTCACACCATGGTGCAGGGAGGTAGAGCTACCTAAGAAGGGATGGGGTCCTGGTCTCATGTGTTCTTCAGGCTAGTACTCCAGCTGAGAGCAGCCTTGCTGTGCTATGCCAGGGTGCAGTGCTGATGGTACTACTTTCTGTGCTCCACGGCATGCAAAAAGGTGGGAAAGCACTATATTAAACTATCAAGGAAACACACAGATTAGAAAATTTAAAGACATAATAAATTCACATTGGTTCAGGTGATGAGGCTGGCAGTGAAAACCATACAACATTTTCTGAAACTGAGAGTACCAGGCTTTTGGATAAATTGCCAGATATTCACGCTTTGGAAGCAACTTACTGACTGCTTTTCTAGGCAMTGGGTAATAATTAAAACATCATGCCCACAAAACTAGAGGCTTAAATGAGTACCTATCTGGAATTCTTTCACTTTTTTTAAGTAGGAAAATATAGGGCTCTCCTTCTCCTTCAAGAATATTATAATCAAGAAACACTGATTCTACAATTTCCCTTTTTACCTCTAACCTTCCAGTTCATCTTTGCTTCTACCTCTGTACAAGATTAGTCTCTCTCTCCTCTCTCATCCCCTCACCCATCAAAGAAGTAAATGCTCACTAGCTTGGCCGTGACAAGCACAGTGCTAAGACATCAGGCTACAACAAAGAACACATGACCTGCCTCCTGCCTCACAGAGTTAAGGGAGGGGAGCAGAAGACACTCCATACTTCACCACACCAAGCTTTCACAAGTATTTGCATCTTTTTGACCTGTTTTGTTTTTAAATTATTTCTCTATTCTATTTTCTACTTTACTACTTGTGTAAATGGCCTCTTCTAATTAGGCCCAGTTTTCTTTCCAACATCCAATTACACACAATCAAATTTTCCTACCTCAGTTTTATTCCTCCYACTTAAGACTCCTTTTATCTCATGTACACAATGCACATTCTTTAAATTCTTAACACCAAATGACATTAACCTTTTCCAGTTTCAGCACCTTTGCAAGCAAAGGTCCTATATAACCAATGTTTTGTAGTTCATTATTGCAGGTGATTCATTGTGGTGGCTGTGAAGTGGCCATGAGCAGCACTTAGAGAGCTATTACAGCACATGTGGTCTCCCTGGTGTCTAGGCTTGGAGTGTACTGTCTACACACTCTTGGTGGCAGCGACCATGGTTTGCTCACCTTGTATCATTAATACCTAGTAGAGTCAGAGCTTAGCAGGGAGGTGCTTGAGAAATATGCTCAATGAATCAATACCTAATGAAGTGACAACACAGAAAATGATAATTTTCACTATTTGACTACATGTACAAAGTTTTATGCTTTAAATGAACAGGACCCTACTCTTAAGAAGTTATTACCTCTTAAGTGGTAAATTAGCTTAAATCAAGAATCAGAGGGGCTGGGATTGTGGCTCAGCGGTAGAGAGCTCACCTAGCACGAGCAAGGCCCTGGGTTTGATCCTCAGCACTACATAAAAATAAATAAATAAAATGAAGATATTAAAAAAAAAAAAAGAATCAGAAGCTTAGCACAATTTTAGGCAGTTAACCAATATTCAATAAATACTGTGATACGAAAACCAAGGCAGAGCAAGATTAAATAACTTGCCAACAAAAATAATGGCAATTAGAAAATTGAGTTCTAGTGTAACCCATTAATGTATACAATTAATGAGCTAACTTTTTCTTTAAACACTGTGTTCTAATATCAGCAAAACAAAACATTAATCAATAATTCATTAACTCCTAATAATGCACATACGGAATTTTTTTATTAATGATTTTTTTTTAAATCCAAAGGTGCATTTCTTTAAAATATGCTTATTTGCTTTGTAGTCATATACAATTCTAAATAATTATCAAGAACTCTAGTTTCATCTGCTTGGCTATACAAGTCTTATTTTTACACTGAAAATTTATGAGCAAGCAATGGTTATTAAAATCAGAAGCAGACTGACCTTAACAGCCACCCTCTGAAGTGATTTTACACCAACAGCTAATGCTACTTCTCTGAAGAGAATCACCAATTTCTGATACTCTAAACAAACAAACAAAAACTCATCTGCCCCTCAAAATGAAATGTCCATTTTTTACAATATTATTAATTCATAATAATAGAATAGAGAAATAATTAAAAAACAAAACAAAGAGCTATTACAGCACACTTGGTCTCCCAGAATTTCTAGAAAAATACTCAAATTAGCTGCCCACAGAATCATTTGCAAAGCTTCTTCCAAACCAGTCGGATCAGTCCCATCTCCGAGATCTGAGAAAGAGCTACATAGTGATTCTGACTAAAAGAAAACAATCAAGATTTTAAAGCCAGTTAAAAGTAGCAAAATTTACCTGCTTTAGATACATACAACACAAATTCTTAAGTTTGTATTTTATGGAAAGGAGACAGAATGGTCCATCTGACAAGTTACTGAGTAGGAACTAGAGTAACTAATACCAGAGGTGTCATTTAGATGGCGAACATAAAGTAGGTGAGATAACAGGGGAAATAAAACCCCAAGTTAAGTCTGCACTGTTCTTGGAAGTCGCACTAAATGAAGTTTAGTAATTCAGAACAATTCACTGACTTCAAAGCCATTGAAGTGTCCACCTTTGGTTGTTTATTTGTAAGATGGAGAAACAGCTGCTATGTTAAGATTTAGTATTAAAAAGATATCTGTAAYAGCACTTTGCAAATAACCTGAAAAAGTAAGGCAACACCATTAAATGTGGTAATGCTTCAACTTATAAAACTGGGCATATCTCATGATTTAAATAAAGTTAACTTAAAATAGAAGACATGTACCTCAGTTAAAGCCATGCAAATATAGACAGCAACAGGAATCCTTTGCACACTGCATGCAACTACTAAACACTGAGCAATTAGTAGCCAACTGCTAATTGTATGTACTTACATGAAAGTGTCTATGTTTTTTTATTTATTATTATTATTATTATTTTGTACCAGGGATTCAACCCAGGGGTGTTTAAGCACTTAGCCACATCTTCAGCCCTTTTTATTTTTTATTTTGAGACWGGGTTTCATTAAGTTACTTAGAGCTCTGGTAAGTTGCTGAGGTTGACTTTGAACTTGTGATCCTCTTAGCCTTGAGAGTCACTGAGATTACAGGCATGCACCACCACACCCAGCAACGTATATTATTTTAAAKGCTTAATTTTACACTTTTTCCTCCACAACTATTTAAGGAGAAAAATGGATGAACTTGAAAGTGACTCTGGTAACACTTTTAAATATGGGTGTAGAAGGATAAAAAAAAGGGTTAATGAGCAATTCCTTAAAATTATATGATGGGATTTCTACTTGTTTATTTCCACACTACAGATATTAGTATTTGAATTGTACCTACTGCCTTAATATTATCAATGGGTTTTCTTGTCTGATGCCACAAAAATCACTAACATAACAAACTACTGGTTCAATAAATGAGATTTTGTATTCCAAGCAGTCAGTCCTTTGTGTCCATGGATACATGTGATTCAAAATTATTTGGGAAAACAACGGCATGTATAACAACATGTACAGCTTTTTGTCATTACTTTCATTGACAATACAGCACAAATATTTCCATAGCATTCACTTTGTATTAGGAATTGTTAAGTAATCCAGAGACAACTTCAAGTATGGGAGGATATGCATAGATTACATGCAAATACTATACCATTTTACATAAGAGACTTGATCATCCATGGACTTTGGTATCTGCCAGGCTCATGGAAACTAATCTCCCACGGATATTGAGGAACGAGTATATGTCCTTTCAATTGCAACATTTTGATATGTCCGATTTATGTACAAGACTATTTATTTTTCTATTATTGAATAATGTTTGCATTTATTACAGAATTTTTAGAAAGATACTCAAATTAGCTGCCCAAAGAATCATTTGCAAAGCTTCTTCCAAACCAATGGGATCAGCCCCATCTCAGGAACCTGAGAAACAGCTACATACAGTGATTCTGACTGAAGGAAAGTAGTCAAGATTTTAAAGCCAGTTAAAAGTACCAAAATTTACCTACTTTAGATATATATAACACAAAAGTAGCAGAAAGCACATATTTTTAAATAAGTTTATATTCTGCAAGTGTGAGTAGCATTGTCAGGGGTTGAAACACACCAAGTGAACATATACTCTCATAAGGGGCCCTATTGCACTGAGGCAAGGAAGAAAGAGCAGCAGCAACATCCACAGAGAAGAGTGTACACAAAGCTGATTTGGGGTAAATAATGGAGCATGCTTCAATGCAAATGAATTCACACACAAACTGTGGTTTAAATACAGCAAGAGACTTCATATTTTCTATTTGGAAATGGTTAAATTGATGCTACAGTTATTCACAGCACTGTATAAGAATTCAAATAACCACTCACTATTTACAATAAAGCTTCATTAATATTAAGCTAAAAGCCATCAAAAAGTAAAGACTATCATATCACAGCAAAATAACACTGATAAAATATACTTACTAACTGTCCACCTCTACTTGGCCATCCCCAAACAACACTGTCCATTGACACTGGTAGTCGATAAGGGGTCTGTTCCAATGAAAATGAAGTATCTTCTAAGTCCTGTGGCTTACTGTGTAGATCCTCACTAAATACCTGTTCATCTTCTGATGCATCTTTTGCAAATGTATTAGTCAAGAGATAGCCCACTTGATATCCACCATATCCATTTGCCAGTCTTTCAGAAAATATCTGACCTGTTAGCCCTTCCACTGGGTAATAGGAAAATTCATTTAAATAATGGGAGTATAAGTCTTCTGGAAAACTCTGCCAATTCACTTTTGGGGAATTTTCAGATATATTTAAGGTATCTTCTGTGAGTGATAAAACATTATCACTACTTGGTACTACTATTTCTTTGCTACCAACGGGGACAGCATGCATTACTTGGGGTACTATAGGAATAGCTGTGTATCTGTCTACTTGGGTGGGATCAGCATTAACCAAATAGGAATGTCCATCAGAAGTGTTGCTTAATTCTATATTTTTTAAAGTTACCTTAGAATTTCCCATAAAATGCATCTCACCATTTAAAGGAGATTCTTTAAGCATGGACCTGGCATTTCTTTGTTTGAAATCATTTGCATATCCAATTGTCCCACACGGACCTATGCAGTCAATAATGTTAGGGTCGATACTGTTTTTCTGCAAACAAAGTCTCTCACTCTTTTTTTCACATGTTAGTTTTGGCTTATTCAACTTAGATGAATTATTACCAAAAGAATCAGAAACTTCTTCAGTTGGTTCAGAATAAATCTTCTTCCGTTTTGGGCTTTCACCACTATTTATAATAGAGTTCTTCTCTACTACATTTGTCTTCTGTGTGTCTGAATTTGAACTTTGGCTTAAAGTTGGTATAACATTAAGAACTGTATCTTTGTATTCATTCACTCTATAGGTTTCATTGGTTTTTTCTACTTGATTAATTTCTAGGTCGGAATTTCCTGTTTTACTAGAACACACACAAGCTAGTGCATCCTCAGTGACTACTGCCTTGTACTTTATTTCCCAGTCAAGGGTTGTTTTAGAATCTGACTTGACATTTTCTATGTCCTCTTCACTTGTTTCTCTACAAATAGTTTCTTTTGACTCTTTTTTGGCATTTTCTAAACTGTGAGGATCACTTAGTTGGTCATTTAACACACTGACCAAATTCTTCACACATATTTTATCTTCTGTTTTATGATGCAGGCCTCTTTCCCTTTCTTCTTTACCAATGCAGGTGAAAACAGATGCAGAGGACATWAAGATACCCTGAAGAGATCTAGAGTTATCATGAGACTCACTGTTTGGAGGAATTCCTTGTGAAATTCTAAGTTTCAATTTGTCTATCATCTGGATTGTCCCCTTTACATCTGATTCACACCCTATGTCAGTTAAGTCACATGTTTGTGTCCGAACTTTGTCTGCCTTGCTACTTGCACACAGATCTGCCTGATACCAAGATTTCAATGCAAAGTCGCTCTCCTTGCCATGACTTTCAGTCTCCAAAAAATGAATTCTATTCTCATCTTGATAAGAGGAACTATTTTCTGATTGCAATGACAGTGCTCCTCTGTTTACCAGTCGGGGACTTCCACTTCCTAAGATGCTCTTCCCTGGGTGTTTCTCCTTCATCAACAATGGCCCAGGGAGAGGAACAGGATCCAGCCTGTCATCAAGTCTACTCAGAGCCACTTCTCCAAAATTAGCATGAACTAGGAGATACTCGTTTCCAAAGCCCTCCAAGGTGATAAACCTTTTGGGACTTAAATTAATTCCATCTAGATCAAAAGAAAGAAAGCTATCTGGTCTGCTAGCATTGGAATGGAAATAATCATTGTCTTTTAGTGGTTCTGTGGACTGATTTTCTCCTTCATTTTTAGAGTTTAAACTTTGATCAACAATAACTGTGACAGCTTCAGATTCATCGTTCTCTTCAACATAGGAAGTGTCATTAAGTAAATTAATAGGTGAATCATGTATCTGACTTCCTACTCCTGAAAAATGGCTCTTTCTTTCTTCAGGGATGGCACACATACATTTTAGTGAGTCACTGTCWATGTTAATATTTAATTCATGGAGTTGGCCAGTATTATGTAAGGTACTACTTTCTGTATAATCTTTAGGAGGCTTGGTGTAAGATTTTGCCCTTRAAGACTCAACCTGAAGGCTATCAACATTTGCTTCACAAGGTGGATCACTGTCGACCAAAAGCTCAACACTAGGTTTAGTTACCTTACTAAATATTTCCTTCGCTTCATTTAGACCCGGCATATCTTGTGGTGACAATTCTTGCTGCTGCAGCTGTAACTTTCCTGCCCCTTGTATGGCATTCGAGACTGAACATTCTTTTCTGTTATCTAGAGGCCAATCCACTCTATGAATCCCCTCAGAAGTAACAGCTGAATGACATTCTTCTCCTGCAGCTGCTCCATACATGAGAGTGCACAGTTCCTCTTCCATGTGCAGGCAGTCAGGGTCTACAACACAAATGCTATAAAACTCCTTTCCTGAATTCTCACACTGTTTGTCATCAACACAAATAGGGTTTTCACCTTGCCTTACCCTACTGGACACATTTAAAGAGTTATTATTCTCTTTAAAACCACTGATTTGAACATTTACCAATCTTTCTTTCTCTATAAAAGAGTTCTCACAAGTGCCTATGTAACAGCACAGATGGTCACTTGGAGAAATTTCCTCCAGGAGACCTTGGTCAGAACATACTGGCACACATGAGAGGGGCTGGCCATCTTCAGAACAGCCCTGTCTGTCAGTACCCATGCACAGCAGGTCAGGGATACTCTCAGAATTCTGCTCAGTAACAACAATATCTGAATTCTTATCTCTCTCATCTAAATTGTCATATCTAGTTAAGAACTTACATATGGAAGAGGAAATAGAATTCAGTGACTGATTTGGTCTCTGATTTCCTTTGTACCCAGATCTTGTAAAAGTTCTAGTCCACACATTAATGCCGGCAGCTGCTCTGCTGGCTCCATTTTCAACATTGTGAAGCTCCTCACCCTCAAGGGTATCAAATAATGAAGATAAAGTTTTACTTATCTTGTTCTCCGGTTCCTTCTCCACGACAGATTTCTGTAGCAGGCCAATTTTCTCATTGTCATCGTCACTACTTAATTCTTTGCTGAAGCAACAACCCATGTTCAAAAGTTCAAAAACTCACATTACAACGCTTGTCCCTTTCTGAGCCTCTACAAATGCATCTCACACAAACTTGGTTTCTGAGAAGCCAACACCCAGAAACCAAAAATAACTCCTTGCACAGCAGTCACATGTTCCTGCCACTCAAATCCAAATCCTAATGACAAGAGAACCCTGCCTGACAACTATCATACTCCATGTGCTGAAATACAAATAGTCCTTGGAAGCCAAAGGTTCAGAACAGCAGAGAGAAAAAAAACACACACAGAGCTACATTAGTTTTTCTTATTTTCATAAACTAAATTATGAAACAACTAAAATTATTATCTCAGCCAAAGGAAAAATTTTTCAGACTTCTGGTTTTTCTGGAGTGTTTTAATATTTTCTGAATAACTTTTCATGGAATAATTGTCAACCAAAGAAGTTAGTCTGTAAATTCCCCAAAAGAAAACAATTTCTAGAACTTTGTTTCTCTGAATTCATAGCTATTTACAGTTGTATCTAATTTTCCAGCTACAAGAAATAATGTTTGTGAGTATAAAGAAATTATTGCTAATAATATCAGATATGGGAATGAACAGTTTTGGTTAGAGATAATAATGAACTATTATGGCAAAATGACAAATTACCTAGGATCTGCTTAAGAATACTCCAGAAAATCTGGGTGTGGTGGTACACACCTATAATCCCAGCTATATGATAGGCTGAGGCAGGAGCATCACAAGCTCCAGTAAAGAGAAACATAAAATTCTAAATGATTTTGGGTATAAGGCAGAGGAAAAACCAAACAAGAGTAGCTCAACAGAAGGGTTCATAATTTTTCATGAAGGAAACATTAGGGCTTATTATATTATTCACTCCATTCTGTAGATGCCTGAAAATCATAACTAGGAAAAAAAAAAGCAAGAGAAAAAAGAAAAAGAAGAAATTAATCTAGTACCCATAGCAGGAAGTATCTCAAAAGCACTATGCGCTACTGACAAGTTTAACCTGCAAGATAAATATTGTGCTAAAAAGAGGTAGTTATTATCCATATATAAGAAATAGGCACTGGATATTTTCATGGAAATTCGAACTTTCTGATAGCTAGCCTACTCTCATTCAAGATACAGGCTGTACTAATTAATCTAAATTACTAGTTATAAAATTCATTCAGAAACTATGTGATCAACAGTGAGGTTTTGGGTTGAGACTAGAGATCATTTGTAAGGCACTTGCCTAGCACACATGAAGTCCTGAATTCGACCCCTAGCACTACCAAAGAGAAAAGAAAAAAAGWGAAATGGTTTTTAATTTAATTTATGAATAAATGGAAAAGTTTTCTGATCTTACTACCTTTAAAGGAGTTTTAAAAGACTATTCTGGTATAGATCAAAGTTTTGTATGCAGAAGAGTTTGATTTTCAATTTAAGCTTTTAAGTTTCACATTATGATTAGAAAAGATGTGGCATGACTTATTTGTTTTTCTTCCCAGCATATAATTTAACACTAACACTTCTACCTCATATTATTTGTACTTTAAACATCATCACACACTTACATTCCTCTCTCAAACTTGCCATTCATTTATGGTAAAATGCAAAAGGATCATCAAGATGGAAAATGACTCTGAGGCCAAAGTAGTTACTCCAAGGAAAATCAGGCAACCTGGCTGCAAGGTATATTGTTTGAGCAGCAGCATTTCGAATCTGGAATCCTTGAATAGACTTCAGCAGCAGCACAAAACCTTTGATAATGGTCTTTGCTACAGATGGAGTTTGTAGTCTTAACAGGTAAGACTAAAGGCATTTAACCAAATGACTTGTTGCCAAATGCCCATTGACAGATACTGTTTCTTCCTTATGAAGGAGATCCTTCATGGAGACCCACTGCCAGAATGGCTGCCTCCTCATCTCAAACAGCCTCAAAGCCCTTTTGATCCATCTCTTGCTCTCCCTATCCATCCTTTCATCATGGAAGCAAATATCTTATGTAGAACATTCTTGTCTACACTACATCACCACATCCTGAATCTGTTTTGCCTGTACTGCCCTTTGGAACTGCTCTTGCTAAGGTTACAACTGAAGACCCACTTTGCTCCAATCTATCTAATCAATAGATCCTTATTTCATGTCACTTCATTTGGCCACTATCTCACTCCATTTCAATCAAACACTGCCATCTGTTTTTCTTCACATCTCTCTGACCATTCCCTTCCTAGTCTCCTTCCAATTTCTGAAATACTCACAGGGTTCCAGAGTTTTTATCATTTTCCCATTCTGTAAATGAAGGGAAATTTAATGCAAATTTAGTACTKTAACTCTATTAGTACAATATGCTTCAAGGACAGTAGCCCTTTATTACATCAAAGTCAGAACATTCAAAATGACCCTCCTTTATTTAACTAGCGACAAAACAGAAGAACATTTCTCCTGTAGACACAACTACCCCTCAATGATTCCTATCTCCATGGCTATACTCATTCTGTATCTAAAGTTCACAAAAATTGGTAATAAACTTTCCTGGTGTAATACAGCTACAATAGATATATGTGTATCCCATGCTAATCTGTAAACAATGTCCCCATAGAACTATCTTAACCATCTTAATCAACTGCACTCAGTGTTGTTGAATAAATTAATACTTAAATTTCGCTCAAAGTACTGCCTATYTGCCTACTAGAAACAGCACACCAAGCCACTATGGAAGCCAACAGGATACAGAAAAGGCAAAGACAGAAAACACATTGTAATTGACCAGGAACAAGGGAGGAATGGGGAGATTAACTAGAAATGGGCATGGTGGGGGGTAATGAAAATATTCTAAAACTACATTACAGCCATGGTTGCACAACTCAGTAAATATGAATATCAAACTGCATACTTCCAATCCAACAGGAATAATAAAATGATGAAATACACGAGTTTAGGGTAGTGTTTTTAAATTCTATTTTAGAAATTCTACCTTATTCAAATTAGATCAAGGACTGAAGATGTAACTCAGTGGTAGAGCACTTGCTTGACATGCATGAAGCCCTAGTTTTGATCCCTAGCTCTACACACACACACACACAAACACACAAACACACACACACGAGATTACCAACCCAACTTCTCCTTTAGTTTCTATGTAAACTGCTTATTTGAGCAAATAAATGAGGATTACTATAAATATATCAAGAATTGAATTTGGAATACTCTACATGTACATCACATATGCATATGCAAAAATATCAGGATTTAAAAACAATGGAATTCCATTTCCTCATTCTTTTATTATTTACTATTTAACTTCTGTGCTCTAAAGAGATTATCAAAATGTAAGGCTAATCATATACTAACAGTGAACCATTAAAAACATGATGAATGTTTGAGAATAAATATGGCACGCTGCTTGTTTGTTAACTGTACATTACACAGAGAACAGAAAAGGACACGCAATATTGACATTTACTGTGGGGGGATATAGTRATGAACCGAGTCCCCATTATCTTTTTGAGAAACATTTAACATTTAATTTATATGTGTGTATAAACACACACACACACACACATATGCACGTGGGTGTGTATACATACATATATGTTTTTAAACAATAAACTTTTGTTGTGAGGAGCTATCTGTGAGCCTCCACTGTGATTAAACAATCTGTGATAATCTTAGAAATTAATAACCTGACTCTAAACAATCTGATAATCTTGGAAATTAATTACCTGACTCAAAGCTGGGATGGAACTTGTTTGAGAAGTGGTTTGAGATATAGGACCATTCATCTGTAAAATTGAAAACAAAAGATACCATCACTGCAATATAAAGACAACAGTTTCAAACTACGGTAATTAAGCAAAACCAAAGCTCCTGGGAAATATATTTTCATATGATAAAATCATAAATTTGGGGGCTGGGGTTGTGGCTCAGCAGTAGAGCGCTCACCTAGCATATGTGAGGCACTGGGTTCCACCCTTAGCATCACATAAAAGTAAACAAAGGTATTGTGTCCAAGTACAACTAAATATATATGTTTTAAAAATCATAAATTTATAAGATTCAGATTATAGGAGTCTTAAAATTGATTTTTAAAACTCTCATAGCACATTATAAGTAAAATTCCTTGTAAGTTTCAAAAGGGAAAAATTAAGTGACTTTTCCTAGAATCAATTCAGAAACATGAAATATTATTTCCTAAGATGATAAAATGAAGGTACTCAAGCTGGGCACAGTAGTGCATGCCTGTAATCCCAGAGGCCTGGGACACTGAGGCAGGAGAAAAGATAAGTTCGAAGTCAGCCTCAGCAACTTAGCAAGGTCCTAGGCACTTCAGCAAGATCCTGTCTCTAAACGGACTAGGAATGTGGCTCAGTGGGTAAACGTCCCTAGATTCAATCCCTAGTATCCCCCCAAAAGAGAAAGTACTCAAATTTATAATCCTAATTAACTCTTTACTGCAATGGCTATAATGGCTTTACTTTATTACAGTGGCTATGATGTTAGTCTAGGATTTACAATTGCATTTTCTTGTTTTGAAATATGAAAATTTTAAAGGAGTGTGGCACATATTTGTATGAAACAGGAGGATCCCAAGTTCAAGGCCAGCCTTAGCAAGGCCCTATGAAACTTACAGCCTGTCTCAAAATAAAATATAAAAAGAGATGGGGATATAGCTCAGTGGTAAAGCTCCCTTAGGTTCAATCCAGAATGTACTAACTAAATAAGTAACAAAACTTCAAGTATTTATAGTTACAACTAACCTTTTGTTCTATCACCTGGTTCTTACAGTTTTCCCTATTAAGCTACCCAGACATTTTTTCAGACTGATGAGGTTCTGGATACAAGATCCCAATCATTGCATCTTCGCATGTGAAGAAAACAGTAGATTCAGGCCATAAAAACTAGAATATTCATTCTGGGGTTGTGACTCAGGGGTAGAGTACTTGCCTAGCACATGTGAGGCACTAGGTTCTATCCCCAGTACCACATAAAAAAATAAACTTATCATATTCATCTACAACTAAATATATACATATATAGATTACACAAACAACTAGAATATTCACCTCATTCTTTTTCTCCTGAAGTGGATCATAAAACCTGATAATCTTCTCCTGAAAATAAGTATTAAGACCCTCATTTCAGAGGGGGTCCTGCTCTACACTCAGAGGACAGGAATGCCACACAAGGAAGGTAAGAAAAATGAGAACAAAGTGCCCTTGTTAAGTTCTCCCCAGTTTATTACTATTAGATCATAACCACTTCTGTCTATGCTTTTCCATAACTCTCTTCTTCTGTATGAGACTTGTGAAAAATACATAGCTTTCCTTATCTTTATTTCTGAAGGCTATGTGTCACATAAAACTTATTACTAAATAAATATATGTTTTCCTCTTATTCATCTCAGCCTCAGATGGGTGAGAAGTCTTTTCCCCTCTGTTAAGACTATACCACCTATACGTAGACCCTAAGGTACCCAAGTGCTGTTATTTTGATTTGCTTCTGAAGTTCAAGGTAAAGAAAGAGAAATGGCTGCCCCCATCCCTCCCGGCCCACAACACCCACCAGATGAGAGCTGTCCTTGCCCTCCTGGACTCGCTGCGCCTGCGGTTCAGCCACAACTTTAGTGTCCTGATCAGAAGTCATGGGCTCCACTGGGATAAGTTTAATGCCAACCTCAGGATGCTGCAAAATGACAAAGAAAGTGAACAAGTCATTTGAGGGACACAGTATGATTGATTTTTAAATGAAATTACTAAAAAGTTAAATCCAGGACATGTTTATCCCTCTGAACTATAAGTAGTTTAAAGAAAACTGACCATAATTAACACCTTACTCACCAAGAAGTAATAATACTTATTTTAAGTAAGATTCTTCTTCATACCAATTTGGTGATAATGATAACACAGAAAAATCCCTTT